ACTTTATGAGGCCAATATCACCTTGATACCTAATCCAGACAAAGATACTGCAAGAAAAGAAAATTACAGGTCAATCTCTCTGATGAACACTGATGCAAAAATCCTCAATAAAATATCTTCAAACTGAATTCAACAACACATTTAAAAGATTATACATCATGACCAAGTGGGATTTATCCCTGGCATGCAAGTCTGGTTTGACATATGCAAATCGATCAATGTGATAAATCACATTAACAGAAGGAAAGATGAAAACCACATGATCACCTCAACTGATGCAGAAAAAGCATTTGACAAAAGTTCAGCATCCTTTCTTGATAAAAACTATTAACAGTTTAGGTATAGAAGAAAAGTTTGTCAACATATAAAGGCCAGTTATGAAAAACCCAAAGCTAACATCATAACGGGAAACAACCGAAAGCTTTTCTACTAAAATCCAGTACAAGGGATATTACTTTTACAGGGAGCACCAAATCAGAACTTCTTTCCACTTCAATTCCACAAAGTGTTGGAAGTACACAGGTACTTCAAAAACTTCATGGAAGGATTCATATTATCTTTTACTTCTATTTTTCCATGAACTTTTTGAAGTACCATTATAGTAGCAAGATCAGTCAGAAAAGAAAAAGAAATATAAGACATTCAAATCAGAAAGGAAGAAGTGAAATTATCTCTATTTGCAGATGACATGATCCTATGTACAGAATACCTCAAAAGATTTCACACAAAGAAACTGTTAGAACTAATAAATAAATTCAGTAAAGTTGCAGGATACAAAATCAACATACAAAAATCGGTGAGCATTTTTATACACAAATAATGACTAAGCTGAAAAAGAAATCAAGAAATGACAGCATTAAAAAAAATAAAATACTTAGGAATAAACCAAGGAGGTAAATAATTTGTACACTGAAAAGTATAAAACATTCATAAAAGAAAATTGAGAAAAACACAAATGGAAAGATATCCCATGTTTACTGATTGAAAGAATATTGTTAAAATGTCTGTACAACCCAAAGCAACATGTAGATTTATCACAATCTCTATCAAAATCTCAATGGCACTCTACAGAAATTGGAAAAATAATACTAAAATTCATATGGAACCACAAAAACATAAATAAATAATCAAAGCAATACTGAGGGAAAAAAATAAATAATCAAGATAGAGGCATTGCACTTCCTGATTTAAAATTATATTACAAAGCTACAATAATCAAAACAGTATGATACTAGGGGGGGAAACCCACAAACATAGACCAACAGAACAGAATCTAGAGCCCACAAATAAATCCATACATATGTGGTCAACTTATTTTCAACAAAGGCACCAAGAGGACACAATGGGGAAAGGACAGCCTCTTCAATAAATGGTGCTGGGAGAACTGGATTTCCACGTGCAAAACAGTAAAATTGCCACCCTTATCTTACACCATACACTAAAATCAACTCAAAATAGATAAAATAACTAAATGAAAGTTCTGAAACCATAAAGCTCCTAGAAAAGAACATAGGGGAAAAGCTCCTTGACACTGGCCTTGGCAATGATTTTTGTATATCACACCAAAAGCTCAGGCTACAAAAGCAGAAATAAATAAATGGGACTACATCAAACTAAAAAGCTTCTACATAGCAGAGAAAACAACCAACAAAATGAAAAGGCAACCTACAGACTGGGAAAAAGTATTTACAAAGCACATATCTGACAGAGGGATAACAATATCCAAAATTCTTAAAGAACTCTTATAACTCAATAGCAGAAAAACACATAATGCAATTCAAAAATGAACAAAGGACCTAACAGGCATTTCTCCAAAGACAACATAAAAATGGCCAACATATGAAAAGGTGCTCAACATCATAATTCATCAGGGAAATGCAAATTAAAACCACTATGTGATATCGCCTCATATCTGTTAGGATTGCTAGTATCAAAAAGCTAAGAAATAACAAATGCTGGCGAGGGTACAGAGAGAAGGGAACTCTACTACACTGCTGGTAGAAATATAGATCGGTACAGCCATTATAGTAAACAGTATGGAGGTTCCTAAAGTATTAAAAATAGAACTACCAGAGAACCCAGCAATCCTTCTCCTGAGTATATACCCAAAGATAAAATCACAACCTCATAAGGAAATCTGCACTCCCATGTTCATCACAGCATTATTCACAATAGCCAAGATATGGAAACAACCTGTCTGTTGACAGACAAACCTAACTGCTGACAGACAGAAAGACACACACACACACACACACACACACACACACACACACACACACACAATATGGAATATTGGGAAAAAAAGGAGCTCTTGCCATTTGCCACAATATGGATGGACCTGGAGGACATTATGCTAAGTGCAATAAGCCAGACATAGACATATATTGCATGATCTCACTTATATGTGGAATCTAAAAAAAGATAACCAAATATACAGAAAGAGAAAATAAAACAATAGCTACCATGGAGTGGGGGAGGGAGCAAATGGGGACACATAGGTCAAAGGATACAAGTAGCAGATATGTAGGATGAACAAATCTAGAGATCTAATGTATGATATAAAGAATATAGTTAATAAAATTATATTGTATTAGGGATAAATAAGTAGATTTTAGTTGCTCTTTTGGCTCACATACACAAAAGTAACTATGTGAGATAATACACATTAATATGACTCACTATAATAACCATTTTACTATCTATATGTATCCCATAACATCGTGTCGTAAACTTCAAATACACACCAAATTTTTTTTAAAAAGCCCTGTACAAAATAAAAGCAAACACAAAAAAACACTGAGTAGAGCATGTAATATCTTAGATATAACTAACCACATCTTTCTTAATTACATGCCTGTACATGAGTGAGAAATTAAATGCTGTTGCTATAAAAAAAAATTCGAAAATTTTCTTTTGGTACTCGAATGGACCATCTTTTAATATACCTTACTTTGGTTATTATTGAGCTATACAACTCTTATCTAATATACATAAGATCTCTTAAATTGTTTCATAGTAGTAAATTTTTAGTGGAATCTACTGTGTAATCATCGTGAAGAATATGAGTGTTTGCAGCAGGAGGTCTACAAAAAATACAAAAAGTCATTATTTGGCCACTTCTTTTGTGGACCCTAAAAAAGCACTTAACGTTTGGTGTTTTTATGGTGAGTTAAAGCATGTTTTTGGTTTGCAACTTTCAGATTACGTAACTTAATAAAGGAACAAAGCTTCAAGAATCTAGAGAAAGGGAGGGTTAACTGATTATTTTGTTCTTTAGATTATCTTTCTTTAAAATCTACTAACTGGCCTGACTTCGAAAAGTTTACTACTGAAAAGATGATATAACACCACAAAAATGTTTTAAAGTAGCCAAATTCACTTACAATCCCACCACCCAAAAATAACCTTTTCTTTTCTACACGTTAATTTCTAGCCCCCACACACTCAACACACAGCATACCTTAACAATCTGTAACTCTGTACCCCACAGATATGTACAACTACGTTACAGTAAAAAAAAATTTTTTTTTAATTTATAGCCTTCTTCAATTCCTTCTCACTACTCTCTTTACCTTAAACTTCAAAAATTTGACTATTTTGGGTGGTTGTGACCTCACTAACACGAGACTAAGTATAAAGACCACGTTAAGTGTACAAACTTTTGAAAACTAGCAAACTTCCTCTATTGTTTATAGGCTATTTTCTCCTGGGCTTCCAGCCACAGCCCACTGCAGCTGTTGATACTGCTGGCACAAGCCAGCTCCGGTAAAATGATTGATTTATTCCAAAACAAAGCAACTGATGTCATCCAACTGATTTCTTCTGTGTATCTCTGACTGGGTGTTACTGAGACAAGACTTGTTAGAATGAAGAACGGAAAAGGCCAGAAATAAAGTTGTCCTCACACACAGGAAAAAGTTCAAAACGAATCTTATTGTGCCCCCACTCATAACACCTAGAGTTTTCCCACTTCATATAAACGTCTACAGTAAGCATTGAGTAGATAAAGCTTACCACATTCCCTTTTGTGGCAAGCAAGACTTACAAGAGAATTCTTTCTTCCACTGCAAGATTTCATTGCAAGTTCCATTAGAAAACTAGAATCAGTCTAGGAAGACAATATTGTATTCTAAGTGTTTTTAATAAAAAATATCTGTTGGTATCCTAATGAATAGTACAGTGTAAACAAACACACACACTGACATTGGAGGGAGTAAAAAGATCACAGGGCTCCAAACAGTCAGTGGTCTTGGTCAAATGCCAACTTCAACACTTACTAATTGTGTGGTCTAATTCTGTGACCTTGGGCAAGTCATTTATCCTGAGTCAACTTCAACCTCTTCAAAATCAGGAAACTAAGCAGTTCGAGAAACTAAGAATTAAGAATTCAGACACTGTATGTAAAGTGCCTACACTGAGCCTAACACACATTCGATTTCGAATGGTAGCTAAATCTCTCCCCACCCCCTGCCTACTGAGGTGGGCCAAAACGACCTCTCTCATCAGATTCCCTAGGCTCAGCCACCAGCCCCTATCCTACTGACTGATTCCCGTAGTGAAGCAGTCTCACACCAGGGCCAGCCCCTACTCCCTTCCATTCATTCATTCATACAGCAAATATTTACTAAGCCCCAACGATGCAGGTCCTGCAGGGGACACGGAGATGAAGGAAGCTAGGTTCCTGTCCTCGGGGAGCTCAGCCTGCCATGGGGAGAGAGACTGCAGACAGGAAGATCGCAATACAGACAACAGCGAGAGGAAATGCTAGGACAGAAGCATGAGCTGAAGGCCCGCTGACCCTTGGATCCCTCATTCCCGAGCGAAAGGTCGGGGCCAGCCGTGCAGACGCTGCAGGCCCAACCTGCTTCTGTCTCTCAGCCCCCGCAGCGGGCCCCAAGGGTCCCAACCCCGCCCACCCCGTCCTGCTCGGGCCTTCCCTGACGACCCGCTCCAGGCCGAGGGCCGGCCCGCCTCGCCGTCCAGGCGCCGCTCAGGACTACCTGAGCTCAGGCGGCTGCAGAGCGTTCAGCGCCAATTTATCGAGTCGCTCCATGGCGTTGCCGTGCCGGCAGCAAGCGCTCAGCGACAGGGTAGGCTCACCCGACACACT